AATAAAGTTACAGGCAAAAGGCTATTGAGCTCTCTCTTAACCAACAGACTTGCTCATTAATCCTGAGAGCTATACTAGGATTTCAGGTCTGAAAGCCTTACTCTAGGATGCTGGCAACCTGGACCTCAAGGGCAAACAGTGCTTTCTCACAACCTCTAGCTGTGAGAGGAAAATATATTTCTAATGGAATCACTAGAATATAAGTTCAATGAGAACGGAGATTTGTCACAACTGTTTCCAGTGCCTAGAAGCACGCCTAGCACATATTCATGGAATGAATGAATGAAGGTTAAGAACTTCCCTGTTCTTAACAGGGAATACAACAGCCACTAGCCACATGTGGCTAACTGCACACTTGAAATAGGGCTAGTGTGAACTGTATTGTGCTGTTAGTATTAATACATACTTGATTTTAAGTATTCAGTATAAATGAAGAATGTAAATACTTCCGTATTATTCATATTTATAATAATAAATAATAGAGAATATAAAATATCTCAGTTATAATACTTACTGGGTATACTGATTACTCAAATTATAATATTTAGATATATTGGGTTAAATGAAATATATTAATCTTTCCTTTTTCTTAATTTTTTTAATGTGGCTACTAGAAAATATATAACTGCATATATGGCTCATTATAATTCTACTAGAGTCGTGCTCCACTGGTGGGATCCCTTGGCCTGGCCTGTGGGGATCGGGCTGAAACTGGCTAACATCCCCGGAAGGGTCCCGGATTGCAAGAGGGAGCAGGCCAGGCCTAGGGGCCCCATCGGTGCATGATTGGGCAGGGGAGGGATCATGGGAGGGCTTCAGGGTGTGTCTGGCCAGTCTCACCCAGACCCAATCAGCCAGGCCCCAGCAGCAAGCTAACCTACCAGTTGGAGCATCTGCTCCCTGGTGATCAGTGCACGTCATAGCCACCGGTCAAATGGTCGAACGGTTGGACACTTAGCATATTAGGCTTTTATTATATAGGATTGGACAGTGTTGGTTTAGAAAATGTGTCTCACTGTCCTGGATTTATCAGCATTTGTTTTGATATAAAATATTTTGCATACAGCTAGAAATGAAAACTCCTCCGATTCAGGAAGTAATAATGACTGCAAGAAGATGTGCCATGTGTTTTCTTCATCCTGGCATATCATCAAAGTTTGCAAGTTAAGCAAATCCCAAGGGGCACTGGTGTAATTAGAGTGACAGTTTTTAAAATAAACTAAAAATTTTAGAGTTGTTCTCCTAAAGTAACATTTTTATTTTCATTTTAAATATTACCTCAGATGTATGAGGTAGCGTAATAACCGTTCTTCTGTATGACGGATGTTCTCTTTATTAACACTTCTCTTCATTTCTTGTTTAACTGGTACAGAGAAAGTCCTTTGTCGTAGGAATGTCTGATGATTGGCTGGCATATCTCGTAAGTCATATATCACAACAAACATCTTCACCACAGTCTTATTGGGATTAAATAAGGTCTGAAGAAACAATACAGAAATTCTTTTTTAAAAACAGTGATTTGTTGATTTGACTCAAAATGGTTATGCCAATAATAAAAAAGATTTTAAGTAATAAATTAATGCCAGTGAATATAAATTCAGTTTTGGAGACTAAAGCTAATAAAATTTCAGAAGTTTATGAACTGATATTCAATTTTTTAAAAAAAATGATTCAATTTATATTATTTATTTAACAATAATATAAAATACTAAAGCAAGTAAAAAATTTGTCACAAATTTTATATTAATAGCCAATACATAACTTTTACTCCTTACTCAAATTTTAATAAATTGCTCCACTAGAATATGCAAAATATATCCTCAATGAATTAAAATAATCCAGCTCATTTATTTCAAACATTAGTTTCATTACAGTGTACCATTTGCAAATTTCCAAAAATACAATTTTAATTTTCCTCCTATTTTCATAGTGAATAAATAGAATTTTCTTAAAAAATAAAAGCTTGATAAAGGTAGACATTTTGGTGTTTTAGGTACATATACTTATTATAAAATTTAAAATATGTTCTCAAAAAAGAGACTTTTTCTTATTTGAAATGCTTCTAAACTTAGAGAATAAAGTTCATTATTATTAGTTATCAAGTAAGCTAAATAAAACTTCATGTTCTCATAGTTGGATTCATTTCAAAAACTGCAGTAACACTTTTTAAAATCATCAATATTATAAACAGACCAAAATAAGTATCCTTGGTGAAGATTGAATTAAATTCAATTGACACTTGACTATAAATAATCAAAGGAATATTATTTTTTAAAATGCTGATTTTATAAACAAAATCCCAAGCTGCTGATCTGACTGTAACCAAATTACCAACACATCAATAGGTAACTTGGTGCCCATGCTTTCTGAAGCTCATCCGTGGCACTGGACATCACTCACTGAATCAAAATGAGAAATATATCAATATTATGATCCAATTTTTAAAAATCTAGTGAGTCTTAAGATTTAAGGCGAATACATTCAACAAACCACACAACTAGCAAGCCAGGAGTTCAAACCATGTTTATATATAATCAAACTATGTAAGAAATTAAAGATATACCGAAATTTCATATTTAAAATTAACCATTGAAGTTGGCAGTCCTCAAACAAGAGGCGACTGTGCTGCCTTTGTGTTTATGCCTCATTATTATGACAACTGACAGCTAGCTTTCCAGTGACTCACACTTGCATATGCTCTACACAGCCAGAGGCAAGAGAACAGAGTATCATTCTTTTAGTTCAAGATTTCCATTCAACATAAACATTTTACTTTAATATGCAGTGATTCTTCCTCAATATTGCAATATCTACGCACACATACATATTGCATAGTCCTGTTTAATTCCTGTGTGATATGCAATAAACAAAGGTATAGACTCCTTGGCTGTAGTGGAACAAGGGTGATGAGTAAAAGTGGTCTGGTGAGCACCAATCCCACTGAAGCCAAAGGTCATAAAAAGGCTTGTTGAATTGCACCAGATCCTAAGTGTGAGGAACTCACTAGGCTCTTTTTTTTTCTTTTTTAAATTTTAGCTTTATTGAGGTATAATTGACAAATATCAAAGAGACTCTTTTTAGTCTGCAAGGGCCAACTCTGTAATAAATAGACTCCGGGGCTTTCAAGATGATCCCGGGTCTGACTTGGAGATGCACTCAGTGGCAGGGTGACCTTGACATCTAATTATCTAATTACTCTTACGAGAACCTCAGACCAAGGGTGCGGAAGGACTGCTCTGGGCCGGAACAGTTCTCCTGGACCCAAACTAGATCAACACCTAGACCGAAAGGAAACATGCCTTCTCTGCCCCGACATCTGCCAGACTACATTCTCATTAGATCAATGTAGGAATTATTACCCTAGGGATATGTAATTTTGTTCCCTAAGTTTTCCTGGGGTCTAATATTTGGGGTCTCCTTTTGAATAGGTTGATCTCAATCTGGCTTACTATTTTAAATAGAAGGCACTGGTAACGCTAGCTTCTGATTATATTAGAATAACCCTATTGAAGTTATGTGAACTGTCGTATACTATTTTTTTAAATGCATTCACCTTGATTAGCTTATTAATGCTTTCCTTTAATGGAGGCCCCCAAAGGGTCACTCCTGGGGCAGAGCAGGGAAACTCCAAACAAAGCTGCAGCCCACTCTTACTTACCAAGGTCGTTGCAGCAGCAGGAGCAGGAGAAAGGGCTAAGTTCTATATGTATGTGAGAGAATGATTATTGCAATTGTAGGCTATAAAACACATACCACTTGTATTGTTCCTGAAGGAGGTACTCGATAACCCCTTTTACCAAGGGACTCTAAAGTAATCACACCCTTGAAATAAAAGAAGACAAATTGAGTACAAACTGATGCATATGTATACAAAAGACTAAAATAATAATAATAAATACTAAAATTTCAGAATTCTATTTGTATGGAAAAAAATTCACATTGCATTAACAGATAATTCTATAGTATGAAATAGTGAGAGTGCCACTGGTATGAAAACAATTTACTGTTCTTCTTGCAGATGTTGCAACAAATAATATGTAACATCAAATATATAATAAACTAGAGGTCTGGCGCACGAAATTAGTGTGCGGGTACAGTCCCTAGGGCTGGCCTGTGATCAGGGCCATCTTCCCCGGTTTCCCACAGCCGGCCCCGCCCCCCGCCACCACCCCCAGTTCCCAATTCGCCATTGGTTGATCAGTGCCTGGTGGCCGGGGAAAGGGACTGTTCCCACCCAATCACCAGCCCTGCCTCCAACCTTTGTGTGTGGGGCCACCGGCGGGGTGGGGGCCTTGGCCTGGTGCTGTCCACGTCCCCCACCACTCAACCCTGGGTCCCCGTTCACCATCAGGCGATTAGAGCCTGCCAGCTGGGGAAAGGGACTGAGAGGTGGTCAGTGCGCCTCATGGTGACTGGTCCAGCGGTTGTTCTGGTTATTCTGCCATTAGGGTCAATTTGCATATTACCCTTTTATTATATAGGATAACAAATATACCAAGTAAATAACAGTTACATAACACCATACTGTTTGACATTTCTATTAAGATACAGGATACAAAAGTAAGAAGTTCCTTAACTAAAAAGGATAAAGGGAAGGGATATAGAATTATTCCCTTGTATCATGTGGGAAGAGGGAAATTAAGCAAATCATCTTGGACATCTTGATCTTTGGACATATAAAACGTCAGGAATATGGAAGGATCTAACTCTTGGCCAAAAATGCACTCAGTTCTTTAGTCATATGGATTAGAGACAGACCAGCATCATCTTTATCACCTGTGGACTTGTTAGAAATGCAGAATTACTGGCTTCTCCCTAGACCAGTGATGGCGAACCTATGACACGCATGTCAGAGGTGACACACGAACTCATTTTTTTGGTTGATTTTTCTTTGTTAAATGGCATTTAAATATATAAAATAAATATCAAAAATATAAGTCTTTGTTTTACTATGGTTGCAAAGATCAAAAAATATGTGACACGGCACCAGAGTTAAGTTAGGGTTTTTCAAAATGCTGACATGCAGAGCTCAAAAGGTTCACCATCACTGCCCTAGACCTACCAAATCAACTCTGCATTTTAACCAGATTTCCCAGATGATATCATGCACACATTCATGTATGAAAAGCACTGCTGTGCTATATAATGAAGTTTCCTGAGAAGGATGTTCTAATCATTGCAGCAGTCCTCAAATGGGAAAGATGTACCAATTAATATAAGGGAAGCTCTGATTGAATGTGTGAAAATGTCCAGATAACCAGGATAACCAAATGACAGGCAGTGACTGTGATACTTAATTCTCAGATGGCTTTAAGAGAAGAATGCTAATTCATTTGTTTTCACTGGGCTAACTGTTTTGAGTAGTTAAGTAGAATAATTGCATTCTCTCCATTTTATATCCTATCTTTTTATGTTGTGCACACCAAAATATGCCAACCTTATGTAAAACTGAATATAAAACAGGACTGTCCCATCAGGTAACATCTGTGTGTTTGAAAGACAGGCCAAGGTGGGGGGAGGGGAGACTAAAAAGGAGTGGACAAGGTAAAAGGAAAAAGCAGACTCCAATATGGAAATATCACAACTCTAAGTGAACAGCACTTGAGATCGGACTGTTAACATGTTAATATTGGGAAATGTTTGTGAAAATGGGCACTGAGAAGAAACGTGGCTCTTGACAAATGTGATTTATATATGACCATCTGAAACATGAAAACAAGATTATCAACAAACTGTATCCCTAACCAAAACAGCAATGAAGCTTTAAACATGTTCTCTCTTACAATCTGTTCTATATGAAAAATGCTACAGCATCTTCTTCCTAGTTCTAGGGGAAAACGGTAAAAAATATATAAATATAGCCACCTTTACAATCACATTGCTACAGGTAATACATTACTGTTCTTTTGTGCCACCCTACCTTAAATAAGTAAAGGGAAACTGGTAACTCAAAAACTACTATCAAGCCTATATTTATTTCCTTTAATACAATTATAATAGTTTTCAGAACATGGTAACAGTAACAAAATTAATTTATAAAGAAATAATATAGATTATTTTTTCATTTTGAGAGTAAGTTTACTAAAGCTGGGGGACATTGATACAAGGAAGGGCTTAGAATAGAAGAAGCAACAAAGAGGACCTTGGAGACAGGTTCAGGGGGTTAGCCTGAGACGAGCAGTCGTTGCCCATTGCTCCCCTGGTTCCAAGTCTTGTAGGAACCCTTAGATTTTAGGAGACACATGCCTAAGAGGAAAGAATGGGGGAAGGGAAAGGCACAGGCATGCTTCCGGGAGGGAGAAGCATGTCAAGAAAATAGAATTAAAAAAAAAACACAACCAAAACTTTCAGGTTTAAAGCAACACTTTATGATTTCTTTTTTAAACAAGATTTTTCAGTGATTTTTTTTGAGGCAGAGGGAGATGGAGAGAGAGAGAAACATTGATAGGCTTCCTCCTGCACTCACCCCACCAGAGATCCAGCCACAACCAGGGCCTGTGCCCTGACTGCGAATTGAATGGCAACCTTTTGGTGCATAGGATGATGCCCAACCAACTGAGCCACACTGGCCAGGGCAACACTTTACAATTTCTAAGCCAGTATGGTGTTGGCAAATTAGGAATTAGAAAGAAATGGAGAAATTATTTGGAATTCTATTATTATTTAAGTTATTTAATTGGTCAGCATATCAATATTTCTATGAAGAAAAAGTTGCTGTACTTCTGGCATTTTAGGATGGAATAGAAAGGTTAAGATAAATGAACTAGGTCAAATCTTATACAAAAACTTATTCTCAAATTATTGTTTAATAGAAAATATACAAATCTAAGTAAAACAGAAAGAAGTTTATCTTAATTTGGTTACTTACAAATAGGAGAAAATAACATATGACCCTGTTAATATGACATAATGCAAGTTATAACTTGAATTTGGTACTGGCACACCTGCTCTAGACCTTTCTGCTTGGTTCCACTAAGCAATGGTTTTTAAACTGTGAAAAGTTGTATTATTATACAACACTCGAAGAACATTTTTACCACTGACACCCAAGTGGAGAGAGATATTACATAGCTTTGAGTTAATTTTTAAGGAATTACTTATTGAAAAGTCCAGTACCACTTCTATACCGTAAAGGCAGAAATTTCTGGGCCAAACATTTATCTTTGTGAGTCATTTGTGTAATTTGTAATGTGAGGTCCCAAGGTTATTATTTAGAGTAACAAATAGGAGTTTGGCGTCTCAACTCTGCTGATCTGTTATATGTATTATCTTATCAAAACATAATCAGTACTTTGAAAACAGATGGAATTACCAATTCCCTGAAGAACAGTAATTTTATTAATTTATAGTAGGAAAGATCTGTGGTCTAAGATTTGGACTGCATCATTTGCTGCAAAGGGAACCCATTTCTAATGAGTAATCTGACAAAAAAAATTACACAATGGAAAGTTTATTGAAGAATATTATCAGAAAAAAGCAAATCAGAACTCTTTAAGAATAGACTAACTCAATAACCTGATTTAAACTCTCAAGATCTGTAATCGTTTGTGTGTGCTTTTTAAAGACAGAAATCTCTTAATCCTTTATCTCTTAATTCTTCATTTTTTAAATGTCAACCAAGGCCAAGGATTAATGCTGTTGTGCTTTTTTAAAGCATAGTTCAAATAACCTCTTGCTCATGAATTTCACTCAAATATATTTATTTGAGCTAATGTTTAGCCAATTCACTCTTTTATCTTATTCCTCAGCCAACCTAATGGTTATCAGGACTCTGTGCCCCAATGACAGATTACAGTATTTTCGACCTTATCTTTCAATTCTCTGTCACTATGTATCAGTAGAATATGTTAAATCGCAGAGACTTCTTGATGTCCTGGTAAAGCAAAATGGACACTGTCACAATTATATTATAATATTGTAAGCATTCCAGTATTATGCACTTTTATCCTAATATTGACCTTACTTCAATGGCACTTTCCATTATATTAATTAACCCAAATTACGAGTTATTTTTTTCCAAAATTATACTGGAAAAGTGGATACCTGTTTCCGTAGTAAATGACTAACAGGTGGCTTATGGAATAACAGGTAGGTTTGTCAAGGAGTGGGCCTCATTTTTCATAATAACCAATGTTGTGCATCATTATGGTTATGATCTGCAAGTGTAAATATTATTGGGAAAAGAAAACTGAATAAATGGGCAGACACCAATATGCTTTTTCTATTGAAGTATGAAACATGGATCAGGATCTTGACTAAAATTTTCACACTTAGAATGGAATAAAGCCGAAACCGGTTTGGCTCAGTGGATAGAGCATTGGCCTGCGGACTGAAAGGTCCCAGGTTCGATTCCGGTCAAGGGCATGTACCTGGGTTGCGGGCACATCCCCAGTAGGAGATGTGCAGGAGGCAGCTGATCGATGTCTCGCTCTCATCGATGTTTCTAACTCTCTATCTCTCTCCCTTCCTCTCTGTAAAAAATCAATAAAATATATTTTTTAAAAAAAGAAAGAATGGAATAAAGCTTCACTGAGCCAATAGTGAGTAGGCTATATTTAGGCTTCTAAAAAAAAGTAAAACTTCCCTTCCTCTGTTGTTTCTTGATTATGTAGAATTCCCTTTCCACAACTTTTATTAATAACAAAAGACACTATTATTAATGTCCTTGAAAATCTAAAAGATGGGGGAGAGGAAGCAATTGAGCCAGGTGGTAGCGAGGACATTAGAGGGGCAAGACCAGAGCTGTATATTTCTATGCCTATGGCAATATATAGATATAGATATATATAGATATAGATATATAGATATATAGATATATATTTCTCAAAGGAAGACCGAACTGAAAACCCAGCTCTGACTCCCTATTTGACACCATCTCTGTAAACTTGTATGGACTTGCATTGCTTCTCGCTCTCTGTGTTTTGGAAAATGGCTGATACTAATCATACTCCAGGACTTGGTATCATTTCTGCAGTTGAAGGCTTAGTTTATGCTCAATGCACTGGAATAAAAAACGGAAAAGATGAAATCACAGGACTGGAAGGCTCAATACTCTGCTCTAATTCCCCTGAGCTATCTTACTCTCCAGTAAAACATTAGCAGTCAGTCAGAATAACTAATATTCTAAAGGACCTTAGGATTAGAATAAAATGGTCTAAAGACAAACCAAACAGGACAAAGTGGGTAAAAGGGCCCTGCAGAAGCCTTAGGTTACCGTGCCTTCCCCTAAACTCTACTGAGAGGATCACATGTGAAGGCAACCCTTGTGGGAACAGTGTGCACAGTAAGCACTTGAGAATTTGTGTGAACCCAGCAAGACATGGAATGATAGTGTCACTAATCAAATTTTTATCTTTTTTTTTCAAATCACACAGAAACAAGTAAAATGTCAGCGCCACTGTCAAATGCAAAAGAAGATATCTATTATTGGAGCTAGCTCAGAAAGAAGTTGCGAGGTAACATGTTGGTTGGTATATTAATTAGTCTCTATTCAGCCTTCAATTTTCTCTTAGGAAATACTTTATATTTTCAACCATTGCACCAAAGCAGTCCTCAATCTCTTTAAACTTAAAGACATCTGTCATTAAGTTGGTAAAGTTTAGCAGAAAAAGGCAATTTAAAAAATACTTGCCATGTAAGGAGAGGGAGCATTGTCATCGGAGACACTGTAGAATGACACTTCTACCGGAAGCAGCAAATGTGTGGGGCAGAAAACACCACTGGCCCCTACCTCGGCCGTAAAGCCGTCAAGAATGCAGAGCGGATCTAAGCGATAGTTCAAGACGGATTCCTAGAAGACAAAATAATTCTTAAGATACAAATTTTAAAAGTTAACGCAACACATTCATTTTGCCTTCTATTTAAAGAAATACATTACTATGCCTTCTGGCATGAGAAAAGTGGTTGCTGCCATTGCCATGCCCTCATTTCTAATGTTCACCTGACCTGAAATTAACCCCTCTCCCATCGATCTTCTACCATGCTATCAAGTTTGCCTCCTCTCACTATTCCAACCCATGCTGAGCTATCCTTGAATTTCACCGTTAGACCTAATTGTTCAATGTTATTCTTATTTCTGTAAATAAACAAATCAAACTCTACCAGAGTTGGTATGATATCAGAAATTTTGTTAATCCTCACAGAGCCCCTCTCTCTCCTTTCCCCTCTCTCTAAAAACAACAAAACCTACAGCACAAAAGCGCTACACACACACTAGAATGGCTAAAATAAAAAGACTGACCATTGAAATACCACATGATTTCACTA